TTTTTTTCCTTCGTCGATCGCGACCTTTCCTCCTCGGCCAACGCCACGGTTCGCTACTTCTTTCCATTCTCTTTTTTTTCCTCTCTCTCTCTCTCTCTTTCTCTCTTTTGCCCCTTCCTCCTTTCTTTCTTTCTTTCTTTCTTTTTCTTTTTTCTTCGAAGAGACCTNGGGTTAATCTCCTTGTCCCAAAGCGAGAGAAAAAGAGAGGGAGCGGGAAGGGGTGGCGGAGGAGACGAGGCGAGGGATGGCTGGCGTCATTATGAAAATGATACTGTACCTGTGTAGCCAAGGGGACAGACCGCAGACCATAGCAATTACGCGTAATGAAACGGCCGGGTCCAGCCGAAGAAAGAGAGAGAGAAAAGGAGAGGGAGCGAACGAGGAGGAGGAGGAGGAGGAGGAGGTGGAACGAAGGGCAATTGACGACGTTTTACGCGTAGCCGGGGATCTGAAACGTAAGCGGACGGCGACACACCGGAGGAATATCGCGTGTAAGTAAACTGTAAAAAAAATCTTGGTACGCCGCCACCTTTCCAACGTGCGGCTTCGAAGATCGTGCGAGATAGCAGCTACGACGACGACGACGACGACGACGACGACGACGGCTCACTGGATCGTATCCAATCTCGTATTCGCTCGTTTCGTACGAATGAGCCACGATATTTCGATGAATGCACTCTCGCGTCTCGCGAAAAAGCTACTTAAGATCGGACGTACGCGATTGGCGAAAACCTCTTCGTTTAGTTGTCAGACGTCAACGTTTTGTCGCATTGTCGTGCGGATTTTGTTCTGTCGTTTTTGTCTGCCTTCTTCTGTACTTGGACACACAAGAGTCGCGAGTGTTTTTTTCATAAGTATTCTTTGAGAGATCTCCACGATACGGTTATTTTACGTTTCGCGGAATATCGTGTAGAAACGATTAGGGAGATTTTTAGAATGAGGAGATATCTACTTCATTTATTCTCCGTATAAGTTTCTTGCAATTTCATCGAACTAGCCTCGGATTCTTGGTCTCCAGATTGATATTATATTCGTATTGAATTCAAATGTAACGATAAGGATCGGTAAATACAAATCACAGTACAATATTTTCGCTGTTTAACTAAAACTCTTTTTTCTTCGTAATTGCAAAAACAAAAGTAAAATCATCGTCTTAATTTTTTACATAAATAGATCAACAAATGTCGTTTTAAGAAATAAAATCAATATTCAAAGTTTCAATGAATCTTCGTTCCTTTAAATAATTCTAAACAAAATTTCAAATTAAAAAAAATATTCGAAATATAATGCTTTAAAAGAATTCCCAGATAAATAAATTTATACCAAAAATTGAAATTTATACCAAATTGATTACACTCCTTGGAAGAGATTACTCGTCGACAAGAAAATTCCATTATCGTTACGATGCAAAATCATTTCAAATGACTGAAACTTAAAAAAAGTGTACACTCGAAACCAGAAAAACATCTTTTCCTCCGCAAAAGTTTCGCGAGATTCCCCTCTCCCTTCCCTCCCCCTATATCTTCTCACGCGTTCCGCGTAAAAGCGCGTGACATTTTCGAGGCCGGCTAAGGTTTCTTCTCATTAGAATCGAGCCGACGCGTCCCGCGGCCCCTAAGCCCAGCGTCGACGTGTGTCGTACATGCACCGTCCCTATCTGAAATTCCCGTACACGTGTTCTAAGCCTGTCCGTGTTCGGCCTTTTGTTTGACGTGAATCACCTTCTGTCGTGTTAGCTGTGGAGCTGCTCCCGTGCGATCGGTGTGCGTGAAATACGCGCGCTGCCACGTCCACCCAGTCCTCGGTACATGCGCGGACACGTTCAACAGGTACGGGGGCCGCCGTGCTTTCCACACGGAAACGCGCACACGTACACGAACGCGGGATTATATACGGGGAAGCGGCGGCTTCGCGCATGATGAAGGGCTTCCAACCATTGTCTCCCTGCCCGTGTGTGTGTATGAGTCACCGGCCGAACCATAAAATAGTCATAGAGGTGAGCGATGTCTCGCGACCCTCTCGAATAGCTGTATGACAAACTCGCGCCGTTTTCTAGAACCCGTATCGCATGCTTCCCTCCCGAGCTCAACGCGAACTCAACGCTCGACGGGCTAACCGTTAGTCATTTTTAGAGGTATTTGGCACATGGCTAAGTTAACCGGTTCGATAACAACAGGAGATTTTCGATCTCCTCGCGTGTCACTTGTTCCGATATTTAGGGGATATTGAGGTTGATATTAAGGTTGATCGATCGATTCGTTTCGAGAGTTGCACGTTTCATTAGCATCCATTGTCGAGGTTGTTTGATGGACGCTGGTTTTCGCGGTTCACCGATTCGTGACAAAGTAAGTGTCGGTGGTAGGAAGGTATGTGTTTTCTTTTTTATTCTTATTCTTCTTTTTCTCGTGTAGGAAGAACGTTTTACAAGCGGTTGTATTCAAAGTAAGTGTTTTAATTGCGATACGGACGACAAAAGCCGTTGCAGCTTTTCAGAGACCGAGTTTGAATACCTGAAATTTTCTTGGTATTATTACTCATCGCTGATAAAATCTGGCGTTGTTTGCCTAAAACAGTGTGCCCTCCACGTGTGCAGCCCCTCGAAGGGAACGACATCACGTTCGGTGATATACGTGTTCCAGCATTCCTATACCATGATAGTTCAAATAAG